CAGCACGTTGAGTCGGTTGATGCGTTGAAGCAGGCGCGGTTGATTTTATGGAACAGTTGTTTTGTTTTTTCAGAGAGAATAGGTTAAGGTCCTTGAGTCTCTGCTCGTAGCTCTTACCTCTTTGTCCCACCATCATTCTTGTAGCCAGACTTTGCACTCTTTCTAGACATTCGATGTCTTTCCGAAATTAGGGTGCCCATACCTGAACACAATATTCCAGGTGAGGCCAGACCATGGCTTTGTATAGAGGGACGACAACCTCGGGTCTCCCACACGTAATCGTGGAGTGTAAACGAAATAGTTCCCTTCGAGCCATGTTGGCTGCCTTCTGACATTGTTGAGAGGTATAATTACTCCCAGGGCCTCAACCTCTCTCTCCTAAGCTGGATTTCATTCAGTATATCAAGTTCAGCTTCTGCTGTTAGAAGCTGACATTTAGCTAGGTTTAGCGGAAGATCCCACTTTTCGGACCACCGTATAACAGCCTGCAGGTCCTGATATACGTTCGTTCCAGCCACTTTGAAGTGGTCCGCGAAAGTAAAGCATGGGTTGATGATTTCCCGTTGCAGATCGTTGACAAACATCAGGAATAGCAGTGGGTATAGCACAGAACCCTGAGGGACACCGCTAGTCATATTGGCCGGCACCAAAAATTGCATGCCAACTTTGGCTTGGAAGGTGCGTCTGGTTACAACGCAGTAGACCCACTTTCTGACGTTCTCCCCTATTTCTAATAGTTGCGTTTTATGGTCTAACCCCTGATGGCTTACCGAGTCAAAGGCTTTGCCAAAGTCTAGGTAACAGACCTCGACATGCTGTCCCTCGTCTAAGCGTCGAGTGACCTCATCGAGGAAGACAAGCATATTTGGTAGACAGGACTTCCTTTTAATAGAGCCATATGGAGCTGGGGTTAGTAGCTCATGTCCTACGAGGTACGCAGCCTATGCTTGCGTACAATCCTTTCTAGGTATTTGCATAGGACTGACGTCAAACTTACCGGTCTGTAGTTTTCGGCCTTTTACTTTGACCCAGATTCATGAAGAGCAACTACCGTCGCTCTTTTCCTATCTCCCAGTATCTTGCTTTTATCTAGAGATGCCTGAAACAACCTTGACAGAGGCCCTTGGAGCATCTTTGCTAGAGGTTTGACAATATCGGGATGGATGACATCCGGTCCCGCTCCCTTGAGCTTATTCAGGGTAGCTCACTCGTGAAGGACTTCGTCTGGTGTCACACTTATTTCAGTCAGCTGTGATGCGCACTGGGATAATCTGCCGTGAACCAACGGTGCTGGCTGTCTGTACACCCCCTTAAAGAAAGCCATAAGGGTATTTGCCTTGTCTTCCTCGCTTAGGGTAAGACATTTTTCAGTGGTTTCTAACGTTCCAATCCCCTATCTTGATGCCTTTTGGGATTAGACGTAAGCATAGAACCTCTTTGGGTTCTGTTTTGCTTTTATCGAAATCCCATACTCATAGTCGTACCTGGCCAATTGCTGCTTACCCTGCGCATGGTTTCTTCCTGCTTTGCAGCTACACCATGCCTGATACGAACTGAGCCGTTTGTAAAGCGCCTACTTTCGACTTCTTGTGACCAGAGCCCTGTCCAAACATGATTTTCACCATGGTGGCCGTTGTTTCAGTCACCTAGGCCTCAGGGGTGTAAACTCTTCGGTGAGCCTCAGCAAACTATCTTTAATTGCAGCCCATCTCTCTTCGATGGTAGGATCAGCTGTTGACAGTTCCCAGCTGTAAACGTAACGCTCCCTCTCGAAGACTCTCTCCTTGAACATTCCCATACAAGCTAACCATTGATCCCTGGCTTATTGTACTGTGCGAGTACTTTTAGCTGAAGGCCCGTGTGGTCGCTTCTGCCTAGGGAACCTCTACCCTTAGACTAACGCCATCTGACCTTTCTCGAGAAATAGCAAAGTCAAGGATTGGGGACCTCTGATTGAAACGTAAACGAGTGGGTTCCCATATATGCTGCACAAGCGAATGCGAATGGATCTACTCCTGTAGTGCCCTCCCCGCAGTTCCTCTAGGAGCTCGTTCTTCTTCCCAGGCTATTTCATGAAGGATTAGATCACCCACGATGAGAAACGTATGGGCCCTTCGAAGCACTTCTTGTAAGGTACGCATCAATTCATTATCCTCAGTCACTGTTGAACTGGGTGCCCTGTAAACGCAGACAATGCCTATAGGTCCCCATCCAACCCTTAGGTGGCAAGCAGTAACCTGAATATTGGGAGTAGCTAACTGCAGTGGCCACTCTCATTGGTGACAGGTAGTCCGCACAGCTAAGAAGACTCCCCCCTTGACTCCCGTCTATTTTATCCTGTCTTTATTCGGTATATTCCTGCAGACCCAGAGCCGTATCTTCACTCTTGAGCCAAGTCTCAGTGACAGCAATGACATCTGCTTCTGCTGTCCTGGTCCTAAGCTTCCCCCATTTGCCCCGAAGGCTGCAGGCATTTGTATACCAGACAGCCACATCAGGGGACTTGAGATTGATTTCGCTCGGTCGTTTCTTGTTGGGGTTCCCTCGGGCGTAAGACCCGAGGGAGAGTTAAGTTTTTTGCTTTAAGGGAAGGTGATTTCGGAGTCACCTTCATATCCTATGTAATGCTACCATTCCTAATTCTGATGTCTTCAACGCTGGAGTCGCACTTCACTTCATCTTCTGAGGGAGGCGGCGACTGACCTTTTATTAGTGCATCTTGCACTGATAATCTCAGCCTTGTTGTCGACGTATTTGCAACAACAGTTGCCCAACTATCCGACCTAGGGCTTTGAGTGCTTAGAATGGTTTTCTTCACCGAGGCGGGTGCGATAACCAGAGCGTATATTATCTAAGCATTTCTTATCGGAGCCTCGCACGTGGTGTTACTCTTTTCTTTCAAATGAAGGCGTCTCTGCGTATCATTTATCCTAGTTTTAACAGGCTTCGTTTCTTTGGAACATTGAAAACCCTTCTTTTGGCTGATTGCTAATAATGGCGCCCCTCAGTTGGCCCACAGGACGTGGAGAGGCCTTCGCCTATTTAATTTCCTGGTAATGGCGGGTTCTGTCTGTGGACCGACTCGCCTGCGAGTGTAGAGCTTCTTCTGACTTGCACTGAACGACCTTGAGCGCTCGGTTTAAATTTTTGACGTGTTTAATTCTAGTCTGAAAATTACAAACTACTGTGAGTGAAAGCCGCTGAAACCGCTGTAAATCGTGTAAAAGTCCGTAAACCCGCTTAGCGAAGATATTTACAAGCTTCCACCATGGCCAAATCAGGTTGCTGTGAAGCTCTTAAGTGTCAGAAAATGGTCTCTAGCGGTATTCAGTGTGACTGCCGTGGTTACTGGTACTACCAAGACTGTGCCCGCATAGAACGTAACGCGTACGAAGCTTACGTGGGAAACGACACCTTACAGTGGCTCTGCTACATATGCTTAGCACTGGCGGAGGGGACAGGTCGACAACCCAATCTAAAGGCAGGTAGCCCCGTCGTGAAAATCCGGAACTCACTAGATTCACAGTTGGATCTGAGAAAAATTGTAAAAGAATTAGCAGGGAAAGGTACCACGCTAGAGAAGGAGCTGTCGCTTCTCAAGAAACGCAACGACATTGCCATGGACAGAAACACGAACATCATCATTTAAAACAATGAGGAGCCGGTCATTTGGAATGCGAAAGCCCGGGCAGACATAGAACATAGGAAATTCCGGGAGCTCCTGAGACTCGTTGGGTTACCCCCACATGCACTTATTAAGAGAGTGCAGAGAGTCGGCCGCTGGATCGACCCTGCAGGCAGCCCGCAACAGAGAAAAGCTAGGCCCATCCCAGTGGAATTCGGAAATCCGGGACCAATTGCTCAGTAACTGTGAGAAAATTCAGCGAGTCACTGGGAGAGGTATCAGATCACACCTGACACCCGAAAGCAGGGTACATGGCTGTAACGACCAAAACGCGATTGTCCTATTCCGAGCGAAACGAAAAAACCTCGTCTGTATGCGTTCAATCAAATGATCCTTCGCTCGTTCTGGATAGCGATAAACAAATCTCA